GGACAGAAGATGATATTAGAGTTGAACTGAAGCATATGGTCGAACTGCATGCATCAACACAATGCCTGAACATCACGATATATTACTGTTTTTTTGTTCCATATTTGAGTTACGTTATTTATCTGTCATCTTTACTGTCCTTAATTTTCTGACTCTATTACCTATACTTTTTGAATAACTATTAAAAAATAATTATTATAAACTTTTAAACTCGAATTTTGTATCAGCAATATGTGAAATCGTTACCATAAGATATAATTGATCACATAAATAATTTTCGGACGTTTTTGATTTCAAATAGCGAATTTCAGTCCGCGCTACCTCAGAAAAATGCGCGGCGGATAGCGCAGTTTGGCTTTCCCTAGCGCGGTGGAAACTGTACAGATCTCTGTGACGCGTGCGGTCGGCTAAGTGTTAATTATTGACAAAACAAGCCTGGCCCGGGCCTGCCTGCAAGTATGAACATGTTTGGATGGTGCCAGGCGGCCTGGCACGCGTAGTGTGAACACTCCAATGTAAATCAAATGTAAGAATGATTCGGCCTTGGAGCACGGCCCGACCCTGGCACGTAGATGTGTATCGACCCCAATCCATACATTGAAAAAAACGATTGAAGGTGAATGGAACAACGAATGGGAAAGCACATCCCTTCCACAACTAGTCAAACTAAAAGATAACTTCTTTAAAAAGGGTATATCCCACACCCTCCTAAGACAGAATCAAATCGTGATTTCAAGGATTATACTGAGCCACACGAAGTTTTTACCCACCGATACCTCCTCAACAAAGAAGAACCACCAACCTGTGAACTACATCCCCATCCTACACTGCAGAACACACCTCAAGGACTGACAACACCACAATATCAATCCTCCTTTAGAAGACACGCTGAGGAGCAAAGAAACGATTGTGAACTTACTGAATTTCTTGAAACAGTCCAAATTGTATAACCAACTCTAAATCTGACTTTGAATCGTTAATAACCCATCTAGTAGCTGATGCGACTTTAAACGCCGGATAAAAAAAATATTATTACGTTAGCATATTCTTATGCCTTACAAAATCTGCACTTCTTCGATTCCAAAAATTGATTTGCAAGTAATTAATTATTTATGGATAATTATCTATGGTATTTGTTACACCAACGGATACGTTACTATAATTTTAATCCGTTTTAATTAAAATAATTTTCTTAGAATTGGACCTAGTTACCATTCAGAAATTATTTATTTATCAAATTCAACACGAATGCTATTTTTACATTAGGGAGGATTTCCTAATTTGGACTTATGGCTATTTTGTAATCACCGTGTATCTTCAGAAAGAAAAATTTAGGTTTTAAGTACTAGTTAAGAGTAACTTAGTGCATTAATCTATTATAAAAAATATTTGCAGTGTTAATGATGTTAATCGATTATGACATTGCATTTTGCAGTGCACCCCTACACATATAATAATACAATTTAAACTGTAGCACGGGCATTTACTGCTTCAACACAAACCCGAGTAGCCCTTTCGCTAAAATACTGCAGGGAACAATGCTAACTATCATCTCGAATATATGTTCAATTCCCTTAAAAATATATCTATTTAAATTCATGATTTTTATTTTAATGAGTAATGTAAGTTGAATACTGAAAATATTAAAATTCATGTTAAATTATTCACAGCATATTGAAAACTTTATTTCCTTATTACGATGATTATTTGTTCTTCATTAAATATTATTATACTGATATTAAGTATACATTATCTTCGCCACCCTTTGAAAGAAGAAACCTCAGGTTTGCAAGTACCACGCTGTTGAACTTATTGGTGATTGTGACATCCAATAAACTAATGGCTATAGATTCAATGTTTTTCTCCTTTCCTCGTCTTCTTCCTATTATACTTTCTTTAATCTTATCTCACAATTAGAATCAGTAGCCACTTAGAAACTTTAGCGGACAGTTCACAGTAATATCCACTAAAAGTAATCGCACGTGTTATTATGTTGCTATGTACATATAAATGTCCAATTCGTATGGAACAGATAGCGCCACAACATAAATCATATACTTCATGAATTATGCAATGCGTTTATATTATACCATTGACAAGAAGCAAAGGTGGCAGAAGTTCTGCAGGAAGGTGCAAACTTAATTTGATCAATTTCGACCAATATGGAGAGCTTTCGTGTATGGCTTGTTGTAGGAATGGTCAGTCTTTCGCTTGAACGTAAGTCTCTATAAAATTGTATTTAACATTATCATTATTTAATCCTTTTGTCGATATTCGTTATTTTCTGCGATGTTTAATAATATTGTAGTGGTTACTTTATAATGCATATTTTTGTGCCCGAAATGTAATTCCATTCACCACATTTATTCTAGATCGTAGAAAATTTTGTTATTTGTTCACGAAAACATCAGCAAAATGTTTTGAAGTAGGTATAATAATATAAGGATAACTTAATTGAAATTTCCTAAGTGCGCTACAAAATTTCCACTTTGTTTCAAGAAATAAAATATTATATTTAAAAAGGTGACAAAGATTGCAAGATGAAATTTTATTTGATTAGAACACAGCAGCTAATATTTTTATGCAGGTCAATATAGGCAGTATAATTTGAAATAATTGTATAAACAGTGTTTCATTTGGCAACAGCTCTAAGTAACAAATACTGACAGGAAGATCTGCAAATTTGAACTGTCACGCGACATTCTAATTCAAATCCTCTTATAGACAAAATAATGTTTTGACGGTTAAGTCGCCACTTTGTCAACTGTTTATAGTTTGTTATGTCTTGCAATAATATTTCAAGTAACTTATAGTTATTAAAGTATCGAACTATCAGTCGACAAATTTATTTCAAGACCATTTTATAAATAGTGTGAAATTTTCTAATGAATAATAGGAGGCTCTAGGTATTTTCCGGTTTGTTAAGATAATTATGTAAATATGTTTATATTAAAATATGTTTTTAAGGAATGTTGAAAGTATTTTGATTTTTCGCAGATGTTGCTGAGGGAGCAGTAGACACGGGGACTATTTTCTTCCGTTGTTATAAGTGATTGACAATTACACTTAAATACTGTTGGTAATCTTTAACTTGAACAGATACTTACTATTTTTTCAGGGGTGCCTCGTTTAACGATGTTAACATCAAACAAATAGGCAATCTGATTCCTCAATTGAATTTGCGCGAGCAGACAGTGTTTCACATTCATGGCNCGTAGAAAATTTTGTTATTTGTTCACGAAAACATCAGCAAAATGTTTTGAAGTAGGTATAATAATATAAGGATAACTTAATTGAAATTTCCTAAGTGCGCTACAAAATTTCCACTTTGTTTCAAGAAATAAAATATTATATTTAAAAAGGTGACAAAGATTGCAAGATGAAATTTTATTTGATTAGAACACAGCAGCTAATATTTTTATGCAGGTCAATATAGGCAGTATAATTTGAAATAATTGTATAAACAGTGTTTCATTTGGCAACAGCTCTAAGTAACAAATACTGACAGGAAGATCTGCAAATTTGAACTGTCACGCGACATTCTAATTCAAATCCTCTTATAGACAAAATAATGTTTTGACGGTTAAGTCGCCACTTTGTCAACTGTTTATAGTTTGTTATGTCTTGCAATAATATTTCAAGTAACTTATAGTTATTAAAGTATCGAACTATCAGTCGACAAATTTATTTCAAGACCATTTTATAAATAGTGTGAAATTTTCTAATGAATAATAGGAGGCTCTAGGTATTTTCCGGTTTGTTAAGATAATTATGTAAATATGTTTATATTAAAATATGTTTTTAAGGAATGTTGAAGGTATTTTGATTTTTCGCAGATGTTGCTGAGGGAGCAGTAGACACGGGGACTATTTTCTTCCGTTGTTATAAGTGATTGACAATTACACTTAAATACTGTTGGTAATCTTTAACTTGAACAGATACTTACTATTTTTTCAGGGGTGCCTCGTTTAACGATGTTAACATCAAACAAATAGGCAATCTGATTCCTCAATTGAATTTGCGCGAGCAGACAGTGTTTCACATTCATGGCTACACAGAGAATGTGGAACGTGAAAGTGTCACAATAATAGTACGAGGTACGTTCACGTGCTGTTCTTAAGTCTCTATGTGTTAATCCTACGCCTATGCTAACGCTCGACAGAGTCGGTCAAGCGTATCACGCGGTTCCTTTGATTAGAACTTCAGGAATGGCAACTCATAATACACACACACACACACACACACACACACACACACACACACACACACACACACACACACACACACAATCACTTTATTATATAAACTTTATTAAATAACTCATCTTTTTATTGTAACGTTTTAAATCTGAATTTTTTCTAGCATATTGCTGATGGTTTTGTGATTAAAATGTGGCCAAACATGGTAAAGTTTGGACTGGTATTCCTGTTTACATAAAATAAAATCAATCATGATGTAATTAAATAAATGTGTTCCAAATCATGTCGTGTTTGGTCTCATTTTAATTGGAAGAATCAGACCAGTATGTTAAACAAATTTTCATGCATACAAAATTAGAAATTAAAAAGTTAAGGCATTGTTTTTATTCTAGCAATATTGTGCATTTGTATTAATATACTATACGCCGATATGCTGACCGCTGGTTTTTATGTTCGCCGACTGCTCCGATTTTTCTTCTTCCTCCCTCTCTCTTTTTCTTTCTCTCAAGATATCGACAACCATAAGGACGTACTGTAAGGCTCGAAAAATCGTTTCTGGATGGCCTAAATTATCAATTTTCCATTGCAAGCTGCAAAACTATTAGGGGGAATTTTCTGTAGATTTAACACACAATTATTAAAATCGTAAGGATACTTTAATTGAACATTATTCAATAAATTGCGTCTTACTGTCATTTTTATAATGCAACACACGCGTGTCAATTTTAATGGTAGATAGTTGTATCGTTGAAAATTATTGTGGTACTATTGAAAAAAGTATGTTTCTTTTCCTACTGAAAGATCACTTGAAAGAACAAAAGATCAGTGCATATCTTTCACTTTCCCAGCAATGAAGATTTTGGAATATGATTCAATTCTTTGTGGACTATAGTTTCAACAAACTGTATCTTCTTGCTACGAAACATGTTTCTGCCATTATCTCAGTTCGTTTTAATTACGTTGGTAATATTTGTTGCAGCTTATCTCAATTATACGACGAAAAACATAATCGCAATTGACTACAGACACATTGCAGACAATAATAATTACATCGCCGACGTGGTGCTAGTTAATGAAGTTGGTAGTGCTATTGCCAATGCACTGAATACACTGGTAGCGACGGGCTTGAATCCCAATGGTATTCACATAATTGGGCATTCCTTAGGTGGCCAACTTGCTGCATCCGTAGGATCGCATACAAATTTCATTGTTCCTAGAATAACAGGTATCTTGTGATGAATTCGTACACGATGATACGAATGCTTGTAGTTTTCAGTCTACTTTCAATCCGTCAACATTTATGATTTAATGTGTTGTTAGCACAAGTTACTTTTTTGTTAAGATATAATAAATATAATATTTTCTAACAGGTTTGGATCCTGCTGGTCCTTTATACTACACTGGTAGGTACTTAAAGGCCGGCGATGCTGCATTTGTCGACATCATACATACTGATGCAGGTGTCCTCGGTCAAATTTATAACAGTGGCGACGTGGATTTCCTCCCTAACGCAGGCCACAGGCCACAGCCTGGCTGTTCTATTCTGGCTACCTTACAGGACCCTGATGGTTCGTAAATTTGCTTAACAACACTCTTACTTTTGTTAAATCGTATTGCGCACAGTAGTGAGGGCAGTATATGCTATGAAGGTGGGGATGTGTACCAGTAGAGCTCGATATCTGATGTTTCACTTGATATAATACATCTAAACTCCGCTCTGAAGTCCCACGTCCTACAATTGGTGGGGATAGAAGTGGACGTTTAACACTGTCATGTTACCCATGTTATATATATTATATCTTTCGAACTTAATTAGAATCTGCTAAATCCATAAATGTTAAAGAATTAATTCATGACATACTATTTATCTTCTTCATTTTAATTTGATTAAACAAAACACTTACATTTTATACAATTCTTGAGATTTTCTAACTTTTCATTATTCAGTCAATATGTAGACGATTAAGTGTGCTCTATGGTACTGGCCGATTTATTTAAATCGGTTGTTTCGAAAATTTTTCAAACTGTTGGCAGCATTAAAAAATGGCGTCAGTTATAATTAACGATTTGTTGAATGATTTTATTATTGTTCATTGTAGCACTTTGCAGTCATCATAGATCTTGGAGGTACTATGCAGAATCGGTCGGTAATCCTCATGGATTCTTAGCTGACCCATGCCTCAATGTTGGCCTGCTACTATGTGACCGGTCAAATGTAGTTCCTATGGGATACGCTACGCCATCTAATGCGTTAGTAACTAAGCTATTTGTTTCTAATCGAATAGATTGAATCATCGGTACTTGTTGATGGTACGATCGGTACGATCAATAATCACATCTTTATTACATTTTAACGTTCACACATTTTCAATTGTTTGAGCAACAGAATAGAAATAACATGTCTGACCTAAATATTCAGGAAATAACAGTAACAGAGATTCCTTTGATATTTCAGTATAGAATATTGATCGTACACTCCAAATTTCTCAAAGAATCAGACGATTCAGAATTGTTGACTTTTGAACGTTTTAGCTAGAAACAGTGATTATAAAAGATGGACTACTGACTACTTTTCATAAATAATAGATTTCTTTTTCGATAGCCATTATATTTTGATTACTCGTAACAGATGATTTTTCTTTATAGCAGGGGCAAGTATTATCTCTATACAAATTCTCACTACCCGTTCGACTTAGGATTGAACGGACTAGCACAGTTCCTACCTAAATAAGAATATACTGAATTTTGTAAAAGGTATGTATACTTTACAACTTGTATTTCAATCAATAAAGTGAAGAGCTAAACTAAAGGAACTTGATCCGTTGAAATACTATAGAAACGTTGTAGGATACCTTTTGTCACGCTTTTAAATTTTCTAATAATACACGTTACCTTAACGCTTTATCTCGAATACGATTGTTGCTGTTTTGTTTTATCTTACTTTACGTTAACGTCGTTTTGTCAATGTATTTTTCAAATCATTTTCCATCTTGTCGAATACGGTTGATTGCAAGGACTAAATAATTAAAGTGTGTTGTGTAACAATGAATGTATGCAAGAATAGAAGCTTTTGTTGATAAAACTAGAATTCTACATCGTTAAGTAACATAAAGGTGAGATAAGGTGTACTTAATCAAATAATTGCTGATGGTGTTGTAACATGGAGGCGGTTGTAATACATTAAATATCTCAAAATATATGATAGATATTATTACACAGTTCACATATATGTAATATTAAATGACATTTGGAACACATTCATCTATCATATTTATGTAAATACGAAATATACATTTGTTTAACCGCTTCGCTCCTATAGGAAATTTATTATTTGACATTTATTTATAAATCGGTATATTTATTATGAGTCGAAGTTTTAAACGTGTTTATTTGATAAAGGCTCGGTGTGAACTGTTTCAACATCGGTTCGCCTTTTGTCAAATCGAATGAACATCGTAATATATTAAACAATCTCCTTATCGATTGCATTCCACAGATGACACGACGCAGTGCAGTTTACAATTCGGCCAATTCTGACCATAGTGACCGCGCGTCCTCGATTACCAAAGAATTCCAACTTTATTTCCAAGAGTTAAATCTTAGAATAAAAAATACAATTCATATCATACAAAATGCACAAAACATAAGTAAGAAATAATACAAGAAAACTTACGGAATGCAACAAATACACACAAACTCAAACTTATTCACAATGCGCTTTCGTTTCAGTTTCAGTTTTAGTTTTCGACCGACCAGGCCTAATGTTTAATTTGGTCTGGTCCAACAACCCCTGTATAAGGTATAGGAGAAACTTGAAATTCCCCTACATTCGTTAAAATATATCTGACTGTATCCAATATCTTTTCAATTTCATACGGGCCCTTAAATTTAGGTAACAGTTTTTTATTTATACCTGATATGGTATCCGTGTTGCGAATTACTACATAATTATCTACTATTAAGTACTACGTATCAACGTAGTTGGATTTTTGTGTCGTTTATCATACGCGCGTTCATTCTCTTGTTGAGTTTTCAAAATTTTTTCTACCGCTTCCTGACGTTTAATCTATAAGTTTATTGTATTATTATGTAATACACTTAACGTTTCTCGCAAATTATCCGATACCGTTCCTTTTCCCCCAAACAATAATTGGGATGGGCACTTTCCGGCTGACTAACAAACAGTGTTGTTAATGGCAAATTCAACTGAATTCACAATTCGATTCCATTTACCTGGAGACACCGTAAGTTCTGCTAACATCGGCGTTATAACCCTATTGAAACGCTCAACTTGACCATTCGCACGCGGAGTAGGTACCGTGATTAATATTTGCTCTATCTCATTACACGCTAAAAACTCCTCAAATAAATTTGATGTAAATGACGTACCTCGGTCACAAATTAGCCGCTTTGGTTTACTATATTCTCTAAAGATTTCGTCGATTTACAAGCAGTCTAACAACAACAGTCTAACGAATTTGCCATCCACTACTGCCAAAATATAATTAAAACCTTTTCCACATTTTTCTAGGGGATCGTAATGGTCCACGTGAATTGTTTGAAATGGTAGATCACCTTTAGGTTAAATTGCTGTTTACCACTAATTGGCGAAAATTCAATACATCTCACTTCATTTTTGTATTTGCCGAAACCAGTATACCTGTCTTATATCATCGATGACTTTATTAATACCTACATGCCCCAAATTGTCATAACTTAGCCTAATAATATTATTTTCTGAACAAGCGGGTACGTAAATGAACAATTTATTATTATCAATATTCCTATAAACTAAACTGTTCCTTAATTCATAATGTTTTTCCTCGCTTGTTCCCAATCTATTTCTTAATCCACGAATCGTATGGTCTTGATGTTTTTTAATTCGCAGCGTTTCTTCTAAAGTATTAGGTTTCAATACTATTGGGTTGGCAACTAATTGCCGATTTGTTCAATGAAATAAAAAATTTTTTTACTTGGAATGGAGTTTAATCTGTAATGTGTGTATTTTCCATTTTGTTCGATGACCTTTTGCCATCTCTCTGACAACTTGAAAATTCCACGCTCGTAGAAAGTCTGATCCTTTTCGGCCAAAAACTGAGTTAAGTGAGACTTTACAGCGTCATCATCATTAAAAGTTTTACCACGAAGGGAGTTGTCCAGGAATCGAAATAAGTGGTAATCCGATGACGCGAGATCAGGGCTATATGATGGGTGTAACATCAATTCCCAACCAATATCCATCAATTTTTGCCGAGTGAACAAAGATGTGTGCGGCCTAGCATTGTCCTGGTGGAAAATGACACCTTTGCGATTGACTAATTCTGGTCGCTTTTCCTTGATCGCTGCATTCAATTTGTCCAGTTGCTAACATTCACGGATAATAAAAAATAACATAATAATAATAATAATAATAATTTTATAATATAACATTTACGGATATCATAAAAATGGGAGTGAGAGACATCTATAACTGAAATCGGTAATTACTTAGTTGCCAACCCAATAATATCGCATTGTATCGACTCAGTGCATCAACATGTTCCATTTTACTTCCACTGTGATGTTTAATGATACAATCATAATTTTGTAAATACATTGCTGAACGGGATATTCGTGGATTAATGTTCTGTTTATTGAGGACTAATCTGAAACTGTCACAGTCTGTAATAATTTTAAACAGAATGCCTGATAAATAAATATGATCTGATAAATCTTTTGATTGTATAAACCACTACCAAACATTCAAGTTACTTAAGTATTCCTTTTATAATGACAATAATCAATTATTTCATTGCCATTTTATTTTTATTTTGATTTCTTATTAAATATTATAGAGTCTTCAATTTTTTTTCTATCCAGTGTGATACATTTCAAATTATATGTAGGAATAAATTTTTATTTTTTTATTTTAGACTGTATGTTGTCAATCAAATAATTTTTTACGATATAATGGAAAATGTCATTTAAAGTTTATTTTGTATTTATTTTATTTAAATATTTTATATTTGATATCTGTAAATTTATCTGTACAGTCTTTGATTGCCTGTTCGCCTATCAAATGGATATTTACTTCTCGATCAATCTTCATTTAAATATTTTAACCCTTTCCACTCGAAGCCTCATTTTAACCGTGAATCTAAAATAATTTCTCTGACTTATAGTATTTCCATTTTATATGACAAAGTGCATTTTATGCATATGAAAATTGAATCTTGTGGCGACTGGTACAACAATAACGCTTTTAACAATTTCTTAAATTTAAACTTTGTTAATATAAAAATCATCTTGGAACGTGATACAACAATTTTAGCGGTGCCTCGGAGTCACCATTCGAGTGCAAAGGGTTAAATTTTTCACGCTGTAGATTACGAACAAAAAGATTGGGTAGCGATTCGTTTCCTTGTCGAATGATTTTTTCATAGAATTTTGCATTATTTGGCTATCAAATACATTTAAAAATCTTTGAACAATAAGGCTATCTATAAATTGTATGTGACAATAACAGCGACAAGGAACTAAATTGGAAATAAAGTAATTGAGCATGAACGAAGTAAAATTAATTAATTATGATAATATTGCACGTAAGGTTATTTAGAACAATTGTTTTTACACGTTTTTTTTGGTGAGATCGAACAGTGAAACTGCTAGATCTACGAAGGTCGTAAGTCTCCGATTCAAATTTGTATGACACCGAGTCTCCGCGATTCCGTATGACTCTTTCGAGTGATACGGATGATAGGTTGATGTTGAATGGTTTTAACACTGGGGTGATTAATTATACTTGGTTTAGAATGAATTGAGTTGAACTGATACTGACTGATCGATGACCAACGAATGACTAAAGACTAAATGACGATGAACTGACAAGTGACAACTTATGTAGAGAAGAATCGGTTTCAAGTTTTTATACTGTTTCGTGGACAGAAGACTCGAAATTCGTAGACCAGTGATGCGATGGAAGGGGGTGTAAAGTGACGTAGCACGCAGTGCCGCAGGTAGCAAGAAACCCTGGACGGGCGACCAAAGCGGTGCGTGCTAGCGATTCTGTCATAAAAAATGCTGCCGATGAAGGTGTGCATTATTCAAAAGTGCAGAAATGGCTTTATTGTCGGAAAGAAGATGGCTCGAAAAATCATAAACTTAGAAATTGCAAGGAAGAAGGCTATGGCTCTACGAAATTGAAAACCTAACGAACGTGATATTTTGTCGATTGCACGTCGTTCGTTGAAGGACTGTCAATTTGTCTCGCTGAGCCGAAGATTAAGTGTTTTTTAGGGATAAAAGGAAAAGGTAATTCGTCCCGGAGATAGTTAGGCGGATGCAGCACGAAAATTCCGTTCAAGGATGGAACAACAATTATCCTGGTTATTACATGCAACTATTACTACGTCAGCATATTCTTATGCCTTACAAAATCTGCACCTCTTTGATTCCAAAAATTGAATTTGCGACTAATTAGTTATTTACTATGAGTTTTGTTACATCAACGGATGCGTTTTAATTAAATCATTTTAATCCGTTTTAATTAAAATAATTTCTGCACAAGATTTTCTCTTATGTAACTCCAAGGTTTGCAACCAAAATGTGTTTATTTTGTTTATTGCATTAGAACTGGACCTAGTTTCCATTCAAAATTTATTTATTTATCAAATTCGATACGAAAACCATTTTTAAATTAGGGAGGATTTCCTCATTTGAACCTGTGCCTATTTTGCAATCACCGTGTATCTTGAGAAAGAAAAATTTAGGTTTTGAGTACTAGTTAGGAGTGACTTAGTGCATTAATCTATTATAAAAAAATATTTGCAGTGTTAATGATGTTAATTGATTATGACATTGCATTTTGCAGTATTCCCGTGTACATATAATAATACAATTCAAACTGCACATTTCTTTCTATTTTTTTTCATGTATATACAAATATAATTACTTTTGTTTCTAGCACGAGCACTTACTGCCTGAACACAAACCCAGTAGTCTTTTCGCTAAAATACTGCAGGGAACAATGATAACTATCATCTCGAAGATATTACCTTAAAAATATATTTGTTTAAATTCACGGTTTGCATTTTAATGAATAAAGTAAGTAGTTGAATATTGAAAATTTTTAAACTCATGTTAAATTATTCACAATATACTGAAAGCCTTTATTTCCTTATTACGATGAATATTTGTTCTTCATCAAATATTATTATACTGATATTAAGTATACATTATTTTCGCTACCCTTTTGAAGAAGAAACCTCAGGTTTGCTAGTACCACATTGTTGAACTGTAACACACATTAAATATAAAATCAATGTTTTTCACCTATCCTAATTTTCTTCCTATTATACTTTCTTTAATCTTATTTTACGATTAGAATTAGAGAGAGAGTAACCACTTAGAAAATTTAGCGAACAGTTCACAATGACATCCGGTCAAAATAACCGCACGTGTTATTATGTTGCTAAGTAGATGTAAATGTCTAATTCGTGTGGAACAGATAGCGCCACAACATTAATCACATACTTCATAAATTATGCAATGCGTTTATATTATACCATTGACAAGAAGCAGAAGTGCCAGAACTACTGTAAGAAGGTGCAAACCTAATTCGTCCATTTTCGACCAATATGGAGAGCTTTCGAGTATGGCTTGTTCTAGGAATAGTTAGTCTTTCACTTGGACGTAAGTTTCTACAAAATTGTATTTAACATTATCATTATTTAACCCTTTTGTCACTATTCATAATGTTCTGTGACGAAATGTAATTCCATTCACTACATTTATTCTAGAGCGTAGAAAATTTTGTTATTTGTTCACGAAAACATCAGCAAAATGTTTTGAAGTAGGTATAATAATATAAGGATAACTTAATTGAGATTTCCTAAGTGCCCTACAATATTTCCACTTTGTTCCAAGAAATAAAATATTATATTTAAAAAGGTGGCAAAAATTGCAAGATGAAATTTTATTTGATTAGAACACAGCAGCTAATATTTTTATGCAGGTCAATATAGGCAGTATAATTTGAAATAATTGTATAAACAGTGTTTCATTTGGCAACAGCTCTAAGTAACAAATACTGACAGGAAGATCTGCAAATTTGAACTGTCACGCGACATTCTAATTCAAATCCTCTTATAGACAAAATAATGCTTTGACAGTTAAGTCGCCACTTTGTCAACTGTTTATAGTTTGTTATGTCTTGCAATAATATTTCAAGTAACTTATAGTTATTAAAGTATCGAACTATCAGTCGACAAATTTATTTCAAGACCATTTTATAAATAGTGTGAAATTTTCTAATGAATAATAGGAGGCTCTAGGTATTTTCCGGTTTGTTAAGATAATTATGTAAATATGTTTATATTAAAATATGTTTTTAAGGAATGTTGAAAGTATTTTGATTTTTCACAGATGTTGCTGAGGGAGCAGTAGACACGGGGACTATTTTCTTCCGTTGTTATAAGTGATTGACAATTACACTTAAATACTGTTGGTAATCTTTAACTTGAACAGATACTTACTATTTTTTCAGGGGTGCCTCGTTTAACGATGTTAACATCAAACAAATAGGCAATCTGATTCCTCAATTGAATTTGCGCGAGCAGACAGTGTTTCACATTCATGGCTACACAGAGAACGTGGAACATGAAAGTGTCACAATAATAGTAAAAGGTACGTTCGGGAGGTATCGCTTTCATTCTAGCATTATTATATATTTGCATTAATACTATTGGAAGATCACTTGAAAGAACGAAAGGTCAGTGCATATCTTTCACTTTCCCAGCAATGAAGATTTTGGAATATGATTCAATTCTCTGTGGACTATAGTTTCAACAAACTGTATCTTCTTGCTACGAAACATGTTTCTGCCATTATCTCAGTTCGTTTTAATTACGTTGGTAATATTTGTTGCAGCTTATCTCAATTATACGACGAAGAATATAATCGCAATCGACTACAGACAACTCGCAGACAACGAAAATTACTTCGTCGACGTGGAGCATGTCAAGGATGCTGGTAGTGCTATTGCCAATGCACTGGATATACTGGTAGCGAGGGGCTTGAACCCCAATAATATTCACATAATTGGACATTCCTTAGGTGGTCAAGTTGCTGCATTCGTAGGGTCCCATACAAATTTCACTGTTGCTAGAATAACAGGTATGTTGTGATAACTTCGTACACGATGATACGAATACTTGTAGTTTTCAGTGCTACCTTCAATCCGTCAACGTTTATGATTTAATGATTTGTTAGCACAAGTTACTTTCTTGTTAAGATTGAGTGCTTGATGAACCTACTTTATCTTCAATGTGTCAAAATATTTTCTAACAGGTTTGGATCCCGCTGGTCCTTTGTTCTACACTGGGAGATACTTACAGGCAAGCGATGCTGCATTTGTCGACATTATACATACTGATGAAGGTGCCGTCGGTCAACCTTATAACAGTGGCGACGTGGATTTTCTCCCTAACGGGGGACACAGGCCACAGCCTGGCTGTTCTGTTCTGCCTTTCACACATGACCCTGAAGGTTTGTATATTTGGTTAACTCTTACTTTTGTAATGTCGTATTGCGCACTGTAGTGAAGACAATGTATTCTACGATGTCTCGATATCCGATGTTTCACTTTGTATATCCGAACCCCACTCTGAAGTCCAACGTCCTAGAATTGGAGGGGATAGAAGCGTACCTTTAACAAATTGACTGCTGTGTCAACCATATTATATCTCTTATATCTTCCAAATTTTATTACAAACATCAAAATTCATGAATGTTAAAGAAATAATTCATGCCGTACCATTTAACTTCTCAGTTTTAATTTAATTAAACAAAGCGATTACATTTTATGCAATTTTTAAGATTGTTACGTGACAGTAAAAATGTTACGTGATCAAAAGGAATGATGCTTATGTGTGCTGTACTGTATTGGTAGATTTATTTAAATTGATGGTTTCGAAAGTTTTTCAAACTGTTGGCAGCTTTGATAAATGGCGTCGATCATAATTAACGATTTGTTTAATAATTTTATTATTGTTCATTCTAGTAAACTGCAATCATCATAGATCCTGGCGGTTCTATGCAGAATCGGTCGGTAATCCTCGTGGATTCTTGGCTGACCGATGCAGCGGTGGAATTCTATTTAATGAGAAAAAATGTGACCGATCAGATGTAATCCCTATGGGATACGCTACGCCATCTAATGCGTTAGTGCAAAGCTATTTGTTTCAAATCTTATAGATCAAATCATCGGCACCTGTTAACATAAACGATCAATAATGAACCATTATTTCAGTTTCAGTATTTTAAACGTTCCCACGTTTTCTATCGTTTGAACAACGGACTAGAAATGACATTTATGACAGAAATATTCAGAAAATATCAGTAACAGAGATTTCTCCGTTATTTCAGTATAGAATATTGATCGTAGAGTCTAAATTTCTTAAAGAACCGGACGATTCTGAAATGAATCTTTGACTTTAACCTTTTGAACGTTTTAGTTAGAAATAGTGATTATAAATGATAGACTACTTTTTATAGATGATGGATTTCTTTTTCGATTGCTATTATGCAGGGTGTCCCAAAAATGTCTCGAAATCCGGAAATGGCGGGTTCCTAAGGTCATTCGAAGTAACTTTTTTCTTAGCGAAAATGCAATTCGCTGCTTTATTTACGAGTTATTAATGAAAAACAGCAACCAATGAGAGAGCTGGCGCAAGACGGTCGATGCAATAAAGGGAACTGGGCTTTGTGCGCTCGTTCGCTAGGAAGCCTCGCACCAGCTAATCTTGCCTCTTATTGGTCAATGTTTTTCGTTAATATCTTTTAAACGAAGTCGTAGATTGCATTTTCGCTGAGGAAAAAATTACTTCAAATGACCTCCGGAACCCCCTATTTCCGGATTGCGAGACATTTTCGGGACACCCTGTGTTTTGATTGCTCGTAACAGATGATTTTTCTTTGCAGTAGGGGCTTGTATTACCTCAAGACAAATTCAAAATTCCCGTTCGCCTTAGGATTGAAGGGACTATATTGAATTTTCTAACTGGAGTGTATACTTTACAACTTGTATTTCAAACAATAAAATGAACGGCAAAACTAAAGGTACTTGACACGTTAAAATACTGTAGAATAAGATAAAAATGTAGAATACTTGTAGGATAAGATAAAAATATTTGCGTAAAAACAGCGGTTTCTTTTTGCCCTTTTGTCACACATTTATATTTTGTAATAATATACGCTATCTTAACGATTTATTTCGAATACGATTGTAACTATTTTGTTTTATCTTACTTTACATTAACGACGATTTGTCAATGATTTTTCAAATCATTTTCCATTTTGTCGAATACGGCTGATTGCAAGGATTAAATAATTAAAGTGTGTTGTGTAACAATGAACGAATGCGAGAATGGAAGCTTTTGTTGATAAAATTAGAATTCTACAATGTTAAGTAACATAAAGGTGAGATGTAACACGGAGGCGGTTGTAACACGTTAAATATCTCAAAATATATGATAGGTATTATTACACAGTACAGATATATAATATGAAATGACATTTGGAACGTGTGCTCATCTATCATATATGTATGTAAATAAGAAATATACATCTGCTTAACCGCTTCATTCCCATGGATGTGCTACGTCGCGGCACCGATACTGCACGTATCGACGAGATATCTCGCGATGCAATACCGTTCGTGAGGTGCTGCAGATGAGTAAACACGTGCTTCTGTTTTTTGCTCCGTCTGTGTGACTCTTAGTAACTTGATTTTATTTTATGTTAATGGAACCAAACTCTTGTCCCAATTAAAGCTTGTAAAGTATTGCGACGGTGGATAACGTCGAACATTATCGGTGTTGCGACATAACATGTCAGAGAGAGAGCGAAGCAGTTAAGGAAGAAAATAACTCTTCGATGCCTAAAAGCTAACTTTCCTCACTGCTTTAAAATTGTGATATGAGTGCTTTTTTTATTAAGATATGGAGGTTACTTTCAATTTTTTAAATGGAATAGTTAATATTTCTTCCGAATCCGGATAAAGCGCTGAATTGTACATAAAAAAGTATTACTCCAAATAGGGTTTAAAATACATAGTTATTGAGATATGAACAAAATAAATTTTATTTTAAGTGATGTTGAACTGCTGCCCGTTACAATCAGTGGAATTGCGCAATCTTATTATTAGGGAACAAGAAATATTTTCAAGAGTTTCTGCTGTTATCGCAGAACCTGCGACTAATTTGTTGTTACCTATACAGGGTGTCCTATAATTATGTTAACAGCCGGAAATGGGAGGTATCTGAGACAATCAATCAGTAATCAATGAGAGGCGAGCGCGCGAATTATAATGTTGTCGATCGATTGAATGCAACATGCTTCGACCGCGGGGCGAAGGAGGGGGGCTTCAGGCCACGTTCGAATCAATGTACAAGTCACAGAGCGTGAACTTTTCGAATCTTTTTTACTACGTGACAATGACAATTTTACGAAAAATGCTGTTCGTCCTTATTTCAGAATGTCTGAAGAATATTTAGTAATTTTTCGGACCCGAAATAATAAGTAGTTTAATTGTGACAGTCGTATTAATTTTCTGGCGTGCATGACACTTCATGAGTAACATATGAAATTTTTATGCGGTGCACACAGTGAAAATTAACAATGAGTAACTCCATCGCGAAGTACATAAATGACATTGTAATTTAAATAATTCCGTGTCCCAACAGAATTTAACGATTAATTCGCAAAGTGCAGTGAAAGTGAACGTTAGAATAGCCTGTCCGGAGATATCTTTCTGTTCGTCACCGTCATATACAGATCAGCTGTGCAGTTCATCATACACTGTAAAGGATCAATGCACTATTCTCCTGACACATATTTGCGATCATGAAATGAATTTACAGCTAAATGTGTGAGTTTCTTATTAATAATATTTTTCACATTACTGAAACAAACAAATCCTTTACGTCCTTCTCTCTCTCTCTCTCTCTCTCTCTCTCTCTCTCTCTCTCAACGGGATTATTTATCAATAAAATAGCTTTGTGAATTATTCGTTGAATTTTGTTCGAACACGGAATTATTTAAATTAACATATCATTTACGTATTTCGACGAGTATCTTATCGTTAATCTTCACTGTGCACACCGCATAAAAATATCAAGATGTCGGCTACATTATCTTCAGAATTTAATTTAATTATATCAACATTTTCATTTATATAATTTTTATTGACAAAATGATAATGTACTTCGATGTAGATAGCGTTATGTTTGCATTGTCATTCTTTTGTTAAGGTTATAATTTTTTTGTCTTCAGCTTTGGTAGTTGACACGTTTAGGTTATTATATAAACAAATTCCGTGTTGTTTTGTTTACAACTAATAGTTTGATGTTAATTTTAACATGGAGTGCAAAAATGAACATTTTCGACATATTATTAATATTATATTACTTTTTATTTTCATAAAGGCAAGACAAAGCGGCCGAGGCTCACAAAGAGATATGTGAAGTTTATAGCGTAGATTGCTTAACAGAACACACGTGTCAGAATTGGTTCAAAAAATATCGTTCTGAAGGTTTTTCACTTAAAGATAATCAACGTTCTGGACGACCTTCTACCGTTGAAGATGACAAAATCAATGCCATAATTGAATCGAATCGTCATATAACTGTACGAGAGATTGCAAAAAGATTAAATGTACCACACACAACAATTGAATATCACATAAGATCTTTTGGACTTGTTAAGAAGCTCGATGTTTGGATTTTGCATGAATTGAAAGAAACTCACTTAAGACAATGCGATACGCATTTTAAACGTAATGCAATCAACCCTTTTTTAAAATGAATTATCACTGGTGATGAAAAATGGATCGTTTACAATAACATTAATCGAAAAAGGTCATAGTCCAAGCGTGATGAACCAGCATAAACCATATCAAAAGCTGAATTGCATCAGAAAAAGATCATGTTCTCAATTTAGTGGGTTTATAAAGGTGTTGTGTATTTTGAGCTGCTTCCAAGCTCCAAGCTCTTCCAACCAAATGATCAATTCAGTTGTTTACTGTCAACAATTTATGAAATTGGAGGAAGCAATTTAAGTGAAAATGCCAGAGTTGGTAAATCGCAAATGAATCGTGTTCTACCATGACAATTCGAGGCATCATACATCTTTAGCAACATGTACAAAATTATTAAAGCTTAGTTGGGAAGTGATGTCGCATCGTCCATATAGCTCCGACCTTGCACCAACGGATCATCATTTATTTCGAAGTTTACAAAACTTTTTAGATGGTAAAAAATTTCAATAATAACGATAGCTTCAAATCGCACTTGACTGAGTTTTTTACTGATAAGGATTGGAAGTTTTATGGACGCGGAATCATGAAGTTTCCAGAAAGAGGGCAAAAGGTCATCGAACAGAATGGAAAAATTTGACTGATTAAAGTTCATTTCTTGTATAGAAAAAATTGAGTTTTATTGCACATTGAAATACCTAAATTACTTTTCTGCCAACCTAATACAATTTCCGTTTCTGGCTATTATAAGAGTATCGATATTGTCCTGGGCGATTTTTATGGGATCTTTTAACACATCTTAAGCGGGTGTCTTCTTGCTAAATTCTCACCATATAGCAAGACATATAGCAATACATATTTGATAAGAAATATTCAATAATTTTTTAATAATAAAAGATTTATAAGAACATACATAGCACATACAACATCGAGCAATAGGTGATACGACTTGTGAAAAAAAATATCACGCTTGCTAGTACCACATTGTTGAACTTATCGATGATCGTGACATCCAATGAGCTTATGTTATATGAAAGCAAATTCAAAACATTTTTTTCCTTTCCTAGTCTTCTTCCTATTACATTTTCCTTAATCTTATCTCCTGTTAGAAGCCGTTACTATTTCTAAAAGTCAGCGGACAGTTCACAATGATATTCTGTGCAAATGACGGTACATGTTATTATATTACTAAGTAGATGCACATGTCTAATTTGTGTTAAACAGATAGCACAACCCCGTAAATTACGGACTGCATATATTATAGAATAGGTTTATATTATGCTATGGACGAGGGGCACAGGTAGCAGAACTTGTGTAGGAAGGTGCTAACCTAAATTGTCCAATTTCTACCAATATGGAAAGCTTTCGTGTCTATTTTGCTCTAGGACTTATGAGTCTTTCGCTCGGACGTAAGTTCCCAAAAAATTGTAACTATTATTTAACACTTTTGTCGATACTCATAATTTTCTGCAACGTTCAATAAAATTGTAGTGGTTACTTCATAATGTACGTTTCTGTGCCTCAAATGTACAGGAAAATATCAGAAAAATGATTTGAAGTAGATATAGTATTGTAAGAATAGCTTAATTGAGATTTCCTAAATGCGCTGCAATACTTACATCCTGCTTCCAAGAAACGAAATATTATATTTAAAAAGGTGGTAAAAATTACAAGATGAAATTTTATTTGATTAGAACACGACAGTTAATATTTTTTTGCAGGCCAATACAGGCAGTATAATTTGAAACAATTGTATAAACAGTGTTTCATTTGGCAACAGCCCTAAGTAACAAATACTGACAGGGAGTTCTGCAAATTTAAATTGTCATACGGCATCCTATTTCAGACCCCCTGATAGACAAAATAATATTTTCACAGTTAAATCGCCACTTTAACAATTGTTTATAGTCTTTTATATCTTACAATAATATTTCAAGTAACTTACAGTCATTAAAGCATCGACAAATAAAGTAGTCAACAAATTTGATTCAAGACCATTTTATAAACGGTATAAAAATTTTTTTATTAAATAATGGTATACTCTAGGTGTTTTTTGTTTTGATAAGATAATTATGTAAATATGTTTACGTTAAAATATATTTTTAAGAAATATTAAAGGAGTTTTTATTTCTTACAGATGTTGTTGAGGGAGCAGTGAACACGGGGACCATCTACTTCCGTTGTTACAGGTGATTAACTATACATCAATTATACATAAATACTGTTGGTAATCTTTAACTTGAACAAACGTTTACTATCTTTTCAGGGGTCACTCGTTTAACGATGTTAACATCAATCAAATAGCCAATCTGATTCCTGAATTAAATTTGCGTGAGGAGACAGTGTTTCACATTCATGGCTACACAGAGAACGTGGAACATGAAAGTGTCACATTAATAGTACAAGGTAAATCATGATATCCGGTAAATTCTCCCTAGTAGTCTATGTTACGGTCTTGCTAGGATTGTTTCTGTGCTATTCCCATATATATATATGTGTTATTCTATCCTATTCTATTCCTATACATATGTGTTATTCCTACGCCTTTGCTAAGATCCGACGCAGTATTCCAGCAACTAAAATAGTAACTTATAATACAATATCATAACTTTTTTAATTGTAATGTTTTAAAACTGCATTTTTTTAACATATTGCTGATGGTTTTCTGATTAAAATGAGACCAAACATGATATAGTTTGGACAAATATTCCTGATGTAATTTTAATTGGAAGAATCTGACAAATATGTTAAAAAAATGTTCATCTATAAAAAATTAGAAAAAAAAATAGTTAAGGTGTCGTTTTTACTCTAGCATTATTGTGTATTTGTATTAACACTTTAACTGCTACGCGGTTTTATGAAAAACCTGTATGGGAAGCCGACGTTTTTTGCTGGATAAAACTGCTATTTTACAAATAAACAAAATTATAATTAAATTATAGTTTCTAAATTAGCAATTAATTGTCAGATAAACTTTACATATATTTATTTAGAGTTTTTATTTCATTATCTTTTTTAATGTATAATCGATTACAAAGATATTTCATAAAATTATAAAATTAAACTAGGAACAAAATAATCAATAAATATAACAATGGGAACTAAATAAGGAGAAAAAAAGTGAAAATTCCTTATAAACGTAAAAAATCTGACGTATATTTATTTTTACAAATGAATTTCTAACAATTATAAACAAAAATGTTGAATTAACGTTATAAAACAAAACTAGGGAAAAAGAAATCATTTTCAAGAATAAAAACAAAATGACGATATCAAAGTAAAAGATAAATTCTTCAGTTCTTATAATTTAAATTATGTATAAACCTTTATGTACAAACGTGCAGCGGTACTTTATAAGATTTGCACATAAAAGAGGCTACTTTTGTGATTTTTTTTTGGCATAGCATACGCGATACCTTCTTCTAATTCTTCTGCCACTAATTCATGTTGCTTTAGGCTGGCCGAAAATCTTTGGATTGAATCTATATGATGTTGTAGGATTCTTATTACTTTTTAACCATATTGTTGAACGGAATTTGTATTTAAATGTTGGTATATTCGAAAAGCATTGAATAATGCAGAATTAATTAGATAGAGGAATATCTTTGTGTCCACTTTTTTATTTTTTTGTATATTGAATAATAGCTTATAAATTGGTCAGCGCTATTCCCTTCATATATTAATTATAGTCTATTATACATTCTGGTTTTTCTTTATTAGGATCTCAGTTTTTCTGTCAATTTTTCCGGTTTCTACAACACTGGCATTATGTACGGTTATGATCATTTTGATATCTCGCCTTTTATTTGTTTTCCATAATTGTACTAAAATTTTTCCTTTCCGTGCAAATCTTGTTTCAAGTCATTTTAAGTTTAACTTTGTTTAAATTTTGAGGTAGCCCCCTATGTACTCGTATAGTACCGCAAACTTTTATTTTGCGTTGGTACAATTTTTTTTGCCAATTGGGCACTATTATAAAAATCATCCATATATTAATCATGCCACTTATTAGAATAATCAGTTAACCGACTCCTGAATGAAGTTTGAACCCTAAAATGTATCCTGTAGTAGAATCACAGATCATTCAATCTTCTGCGCCACGGTATCTTGTCTTCATCAATACTTATGTTTTGCCCTGGACTATAATTATATCTAAATTTTGACGAAAAGTATTCTACTATACATATATCGAACTTTGTGTAATCTATCTGCATTTCGTGAAATATCGTCGTTATTTGAGAAATGTAGACGTGGTAATCTTTGCCGGAATGTATTTCTGCTGATTGTTTTAGAAAAAACTTCCGGTCGCAATTACCAATAATAGTCGATATCGGGTTTTCTAATAAATCCCATAATTATACCCAGAGCAAACCACTATTTCAATTCTGAGACTGTCGCATAATACCACTTGCTGACATTTTTTATTGTTTAATAATTGCGATGAGTTTGAATGTAATCTTTGTTGGTTTCATTAGTGACAAAAATAAAAAAATCATGTCCCAAGAAACAATCGATAACATCTTCTATTGAAGTTTTATTATCGGGTATACGCTGTTTTCCTGATCTCAAAAATGGTTTGTTCGTCGCTAGTAGATCCGTAAATGTCCATTCATCTCTTTCTTCCTTACTATCAGTTTCACTGCTTCAATAGTGAAAGAGGCGGAGTTATTCTTTCACTTGTTGGAAAAAGTTTTCTGAACTTACTTTGTCATCCCTATTACTCGCTTCATCTCTGATATCGTTTGGAATATCTGGCAAATTATCAACATATCCGTCATGAAAAATATTTTCACCTGTTTCGCTTTCCATTCTAAAGAAAGGATTAAAAATAATAAGCAAAATAAACACGAAATAGATTATTACACCGAATTTAGTTTTACTAAATAAAAATGCATGTACCTGACGCAAGATTAAGGAAATTAAGGTAAATTGCGATTTCGGATTTGTTCTCAGTCGAATCGAAAATAACTAGTAGTTTGTACGACTGATACTGGTAACGAACGGCGCCATGATATTAAGTCTGTTGGAAGAGCGGGACTCGGTTTTTGAGTCAAGCCGAGTACTCGGTAAAATCGAGTGGCTCGAATGAATCGAGTAACTCGAATTGTTTCAAGCCGTCTTATCTTCATGATTATACATATAAACAATGCATTCAAGAGTCCCACAGTTCTCAACCGAAGTCATTACTGTATCGCGATCGATCGTGATGCTTCCCTCGGACGTATTTGTTTTTTACAACGGATATATAATGGACATCACAGGCAAATGAAAATTATGAATCGATAACAATCCATTATTTAGAAAACAATTTTAAGATAAAGCATTCTCTTTTAAAAATTTATATTTTCTTCACGTCTCATAATAGTACAAATTTAAACAAATTAATGATAAGTACCTTACATAATGTAACCAATAATGCAGCAAATATTATACAAGCAATACAATTATCTCATAAGCGGGAGCGTATCCTATATTTCCTTTGCAGTTTACAGGTGAACGAACAATAAGAAAAATTAATGTCAAAATAAATTTAATTAAATTAAAATTAATTAAATGCCAAAATAAATAATAAGTAGTGAAACTTTAATATTTAAATGTAACCAGTTATTTGAGTTCACACGATAAAATATTCTATAAATCACTCAGAAGAGAAGTCGAAATTTAAGAAAATATTGGACAATCGTAATATTATTCCGCTTATACATTTCAAGTCTTTCGTTTTGTAGATGGAATTTATGGATGGAATTTATAACAAATAATAACACATCATAAACGATAGATTTGAAAAATCATTATGTATATCAATATAAAACACTTTAAACAATAGATTCCAATTTATACAAAGACCCAAAGTTTTGGTTATGACAATGATCATCGACCTTTAAGTACATTATGTTTATTGTACATGAAGAATAGGTTATTCGGATCACACATGACGCTCGGTCATAAAATGAACCGCTTGAAATGTCTAAATTGCTCGCTTACATTCGAGCCGTTCGATTTCTTTGGAGCCAGGATTATTTGAGCCAGGTAATACGCGACGCGTTCTTTGCGAGTACTCTAGAACTCTATATGATACACATATTTTACCGGCGGCCGTTAACGTAAGTTTGTGCCGTAGCACAACTGTTTTACCAGCGACAGGTAAATTGTTAATGTACATCGACATGCTGGCCGACTGCCCCCATTTTCGCCCCCCGCCCCTAACACACACCACCACTAACAAGTCTTGAAAAATCGTACCTGAATTGTTTAAGTTTATTTTTGATTGCAAGTTGTGAGAATATTAAGGAGAATTTACAGTAGATTTAACACGAGAACTGTCATTGCCGGATGAATGATCTGTGTCAGTTTTTGTTTCATAATTATTGGAAGATCGTAAAGATACTTTAATTGCACATTATTCAATAAATTAGGTCTTACTATCACTTTTATAATGTAACACACACAAGTCAATTTTAATGTTAGATAGCTGTAACATTGAAAACTATTGAGGTACTATTGAAAAGAGTATGTTTCTTTTACTACTGATAGAACCAGAACTACTTGAAAGAACAAAAGATCAGTTTCATCTTTCACTTTTCCAGTATTGAAGATTTGGAACTAGATTCAATTCTCAGTGGACTATACATATGTATATTCCATAAACTGTATCTTCTTGCTACGAAATATGTTTCTGCCATTATCTCAGCTCATTTAAATGCGTTGGTAATATTTGTTGCAGCTTATCTCAATTATACGACGAAGAACATAATCGCAATCGACTACAGACAAATCGCAGACAACAGAAATTATATCATCGACGTGGAGCGTGTCAAGACTGTTGCTAGTGCTATTGGCAATTCTCTGAATACACTGGTAGCGAGTGGCTTGAATCCCCATAATATTCACTTAATTGGACATTCCTTAGGTGGTCAAGTTGCTGCATCTGTAGGGTTGTATACAAACTTCGAGGTTCCCAGAATAACAGGTATGTTGTGATGAATTCATACACGATGATACGAATACTTGTAGTTTTCAGTGCTACCTTCAATCCGTCAACATTTATGATTTAGTTTAGTTTTGTTAGCACAAGTTACTTTTTTGTTAAGATTGGGTGCTTCAGGAACGTACTTCATCTTCAATGTGTCAAAATATTTTCTAATAGGTTTGGATCCCGCTGGTCCTTTGTACTACACTGGGAGCTACTTACGGGCAAGCGATGCTGCGTTTGTCGTCATTATACATACTGATGAAGGTCTCCTCGGCCAAATTCAGCACAGTGGCGACGTGGATTTCCTTCCTAACGGAGGACACAGGCCACAGCCTGGTTGTGCTCTTGTGCCTCTCACAAAAGGCTCGGAGAGTTCGTAAATTTGATCCTTATTTTTGCTATACTGTCGTGCGCATAGTAGCGAGGACAGTGTATTCGATGTGTACCAGTGGGGTTCGATATCCGATGTTTCACTTGGTATATCCGAACCCCACTCTGAAGTCCAACCTCCTAGAATTGGAGGGGATAGAAGTGTACGTTTAACAAATTGACTGCTGCGTCATCTATATTATATCTCTTATATCTTCCTAATTTTATTAGAAGCTGCAAAACTCATGAATGTTAAAAAGTAATTGATGCCGTACTATTTAACTCTTCAATTTTAATTTGATTAAACGAAATGCTTAAATTTTATGCAATTTTTGAGATTGTCGACGTGCCAGTCAAAATGTTACGTGTGCAAAAAGGTCGACGCTTAACTGTGCACTACTGTACTGGCAGATTTATTTAAATCGATGCATTCGACAATTTTTCAAACTGTTGGCAGCTTTGATAAATGGTGTCGATCAAAATTAACGATTCTAATGATTTTATTATTGTTCATTCTAGTAAACTGCAATCATCGTAGATCCTGGCGATATTATGCAGAATCGGTCGGCAATCCTCGTGGATTTTTGGCTGACCGATGCAATGGTGGTGGCCTATTTCATGAGAAAAAATGTGACCGATCAGATGTTATCCCTATGGGATACGCTACGCCATCTAATGCGTTAGTACAAAGCTATTTGTTTCTAATCGAATAGATTGAATCATTGGCACCTATTGACATAAATGATCAATAATCAAACCCTAATTGCAGTTTCAGTATTTTATACGTTCGCACGTTTTCAATTGTTTGAACGACGAAATAGAAATAACATGTATGACCAAAATATTCTGGAAATGTCAGTAACAGCGATTTCTCTGTTATTTCAGTGTAGAATATTGATCGTAGACTCTAAATTTCTCAAAGAACCGGACGATTCTGAAATGAATCTTTGAATTTAACCTTTTGAACGTTTTAGTTAGAAATAGCGATTATAAATGATAGACTACTTTTTATAAATGATAGATTTCTTTTTTGATAGCCATTATGTTTTGATTGCTCGTAACAAATGATTTTTCTTTGCAGCAGGGGCACGTACTATCTGAAAACAAATTCAAAATTCCCATTCGCCTTAGGATTGAAGGGTCTATTGTAACTCCTACGTTATTAAGTGTATACTGAATTTTCTAACAGGTGTCGCTACTTTACAACTTGTATTTCGAACAATAAAGTGAGCAACTAAACTAAAGGTATTTGACTCGTTGAAATACTGTAGAAACGTTGTAGGATAAGATAAAAATATTTGCGTGAAAACTGTGTTTTCTGTTTGTCCTTTCGTCACACTTAAATTTTCTGGTAATACACGTTACCTTATAACGATTTATCTCGAATACGATTGTTGCTATTTCGTTTTATCTTATTTCATTAATTTGTCAATGTATTTTTTAAATCATTTTTGATTTCGTCGAATACGGTTGATTGCTATGAATAAATAATTGAAGTGTGTTGCGTAACAATGAACGAATGCCAGAAAGGAAGCTATTGTTGATGAAACTATGATTCTACATCGTCAAGTGACATAAATGTAACATAAGGCGTATTTAGTTAAATAATTTTCGTATTTTAATAGCAACATTGATCTCTCCAATTGATATTTTATTTCAGGAATGTTAATGCTCGTGGTTGATCTTGCGATCGTTCGAGCTTTGTTGTAATTTGCACGTTAGTGTGCCGACTAACACTCTATTTTTGCTAACCGGGTGCTTCAACAATTAGCTTCCCGGGAGACCTCTGTATCCACTGACGGCTCAGGACGGATCAGGACGGATGGACAGATCAGGACTGTCGAATAACCGTGTGACATCCACTAGGTCACCTCGGTTATCCCTACCTTTACTTAAGGGTGGGCGGCGAGGAAAAACTGCCCAATCACGACAGGCTCAAAACCGGACGCTAATTGGTTACAATGAAGATGGTTGGGACCTTTGGAAAGGGTACTGCGAACGCCTCCAGATGAGATTCCTCCTCAAGGGAAAATTTGGAAATCTACCCCATCTGGAAGCAATTACGCCGAGTGGTCCAAGTTCCAACCCCGCTAACGGCCTGGTCGTAAATCAAGGATAAGTCCTTTACAGAGGACCACCAAAAAACGGTCGACGGGGCCCATGAGTTTTACCATGTCGAAAACTAACGTTTCCGCCACCGGGGTGACAGGCCCACACCCTAGCCATCAAGGACCCATGTGCCTGGCCCCCGCTGTGAAGCCCAGATGGGGAATCCCTAACAAGGAACATTATAGTGTTTGTTATTGTGGAAATATAGCGTATTGATTTTCTTAGAATGAGGACATAATCTTTTTTCGGGAGAATGATTTTATATACACATGCAAAATCCAATCATTAAGGGCGCGGGTCGCCGCACACTATGACGAGCCACACATACAAGAAAACCATATACGTATATTAGTTTTAGAGGTTTCTATCGACCAAAACTGACGCTTTAATATCGAAGTATGCAGTTCACAAGTGGAAAATTTAGATTCCGGAAAGACTAAACGACTGGGCTTCGGTTGTAGAAATATCCGTTTTGCAGTTATTGCGGAGATATTTGCAATATTCGGCCAGAGTGGTGTCAATCTCACGAGCATGACGTCACAAGATGGCCGCCGCTAACAGTTTTTCGTAAATATCGAGAGATATAGAGCTCGAATCGAAAATTCACAACCGAAGCCCAGTAGATAAGACACGTACAAAGGCAATGGAGTGTATTTTCAGTTGATTTCTTAGTTAATTAAGACACAGGAGTAATTGATAGACCGAAGCACCAACCCCGAGCTTCCGACATTTTTCACTACTAGCGTCACAGTTCTCTTCCAACCAACAAGCTGCACCACAGCGAGCTCAACCGTCAGGTATATAACATAACCTTGACATAATCTTGACATAATCGTCTTTCCGGAATCTAAATTTTCCACTTGTGAACTGCATACTTCGATATTAAAGCGTCAGTTTTGGTCGATAGAAACCTCTAAAACTAATATACGTATATGGTTTTCTTGTATGTGTGGCTCGTCATAGTGTGCGGCGACCCGCGCCCTTAATAGCGATGTTAAGTAAGATCAGTTTTTACAAGATACTTACGAATTTCTGAGAGCTTTCAGTTGTTTACTTGGTCGGTTAATGACGCAGTATAATGTTGACATGTTATTATAGTACTTATTACAAACTTTACATATAATACCTCTTACACACTGATTTCTTAGTAACTACCTGAAAGTTAACCTTTAGCAGACGAAAGGCGACTCTCGGTCGCCACGACGTTTTGCGCGGCTGGACGAGTGGCGAGTGAAAGACGACAGTCAGTCAGATTTCATTATCTCTAACCGAGGGTAATGCACTATTGGTTCTTGGAAACGTTCCTTCGTTGTTGTTATCCTTTCATACGAAGTGTGAAAAGACACATTATATCAGGGATAAGATAAATATTAATTAATAAAAAGTTTTTCTAAGACTTCGACACTGACAATGGCTCGAGCATCTGAATTTACACACTGGCAGATTCAAATACGGGAATTTTAGCTTACTATGGCAGAACAGGAATCCCCTTATACTTATACAAAACCCAATGCTGTTATAAATTATACCAAATTCTTGGGCGGCGTTGATATAGCAGATCAACATTGTTCAACGTAGTGTTTCATGAGAAAGTCCCTGAAGTGGTGGCGCAAATTATTTTTCTGGGGACTGGAAATTTGTTTAATCAATTCGTACATTCTCTACAAACATGTAAAAAGGCAAATAAACGAACAGGCAGTTACACATTTGAACTTTCACAAAATTTTTGTCAACCACGAGATAGATCTTCAAGTTCGACGTCCAACTCTAACGAAATTCTTCTAAACGGGAACCTGCATGTATTGTTACTGGCACAAAGAAAGATTGCAAAGTTTGTTCCAGTCGAAACAAACCAGGGGGAAGACATGAGACGACCTATTTCTGTAATACATGTCCAGATAAACCAAGAATGCATCTTGATCAATGTTTTATAAATTATCACACCAAACGAAACTACAAATCAAAATTTTTGTCAAATTATATTCATAAAAGTGTGAATATAGATAAACTGACGAAATATAACGTTTTTGTAAGATAATTTATATGTCTGGTACAATGAGATCATCTTATTGTACCAGATCATGATTGTAATTAATCCAGATTCAAGTCGATAGAAAATTTGAAAGGAGTAAATTTTTTTTCTGCGTCTACTAGTTTTCTTTTTCATATAAATGTTTATGTACTTGGATGTATACATATGTATAGATTGTGCGAAACTTTCTTCGGTGCGCAAACAGTTAGCGTAATTATCAGTCTGCGATACATGACCACCCAATTTTTGCCTGCATTTTACCACGATTTGAACAATTTTGCTATTAGCTACACTGTCAATCAGAAAGAATCTCGCAATTAGATGTTTCGAGCAAACATATTGCAATCGCTGAACTGCACTGATTTAATGTGTGAGCATTTTCTAGTGCTTCCTAGGATTGATTTCACGTCTATTGACTGTTCCGTTCAAGTATGATTTTGCTATACCATTCGTTAAAAATAATATAATCACATTTTATTTCGAACAAGAACATTTATCATACGATTTACATTATATTTTTAATTGCAATTAAAAGAGAAGTGTTCCATGAACATGAAGCATAATTTAGAAAAAACCTATAATGAACTAGGGCAAGTTAATTGTATACGAATATAAGGTATATTCGCTCAAAATGTTCCCATAATGGACAAACAAACGGTTCGAAACTGTATTTTATTTTAATTATTACAGATCATGATTCAATTATTAAGACAAATAATAAATATTCACGTGACAGTGGAATTCAATACGCATTTCATATTAATAATTTATTTCACGAAGTTTTTAATTAAATCGTACAATTAAATTCACTTCATTACGGATAACCAATATTGTACAACACGTCACGTATTATCGATAATTTCTATTGGCTCGCGCAATTAGTGAGGAAACGATACGTAAACGAAATATTAGCGTAATATTTTAAAGTAATGTTCCCCGTATGAGCGATGCATTTAAACAGCTTATCTTCAACAAGCCTCAACTTGACTGATGTAAATAAACCTGTTCTGGTAGAATCACCAATGCCTTAATTATTCGTAAATAGTACGCAAATGTCGTAATATATTATTCGAATGGGAGAATAACAGATAGTAGCCCGTTTGGAAGATATACATGAATCATTTATGCATTTGATATGCGTCTATATGATTTGGCTTAAACTGTTTAAAGTCACGCAGATTTGATTACATATCATTTTTGCACCTTTTACTACAATAAATTATTATAAATTCACGGTTAGAATTATAGTAATTTATATAATAAATTTCATGGTACTATACTTTTTATTTAAGAGGCAATCAAACCGCGAGAAAGAAATCGTAGAAGAACTTGTGAAAGAGCATTATAAAGAGGAGACTTTCCTTTATAAAAGGAAAAGATTTATAAAAATTTTGGTAAAACAGAAATATTGAAATTTTCAAACAACTCTACAATCAAATAACTCATTAAATATTTGTTGTACGAAAAAATGTTTTAGATAGAAGTTGCATGGTTTATATGGGGACATATAATGTTCTAACTAGTTTTATGTTATTTTGCTTTCTTATGAAGATATGAAGGTCACCTTCAATTTTTTAAATGGGATAGTTAATATTTCTTTCCGAATTCTCATAAAGCGTTGTGTGAATTCTACATAAAAAGTATTACACCAAATGGAGTCTAAGATATATAGTTACTGAGATATTAACGAAATAAGTTTTATTTTAAGCGATGTTCGAACTGCTCTCCATTACAATCACGTAATCTTAATATTAGAGAACGAGTAACATTATCAAGAGTTTCTGCTGTTTTTACAGGACATTCATGACTAATACGTTGTTGCATATGTTGTTACTTATGTAGCATCTAGTACAGTGTTTTGCAATATTCATCGGCCGTTCGTAAACAAAGTCACGTTGCGTTAACAGTTACGTTGATCTATGGTCATACCTAATAGATGTAATGTACTTTCGCTAATATCTCAGCAACTATTATATATCTTAGACCACATTTGGTGTAATACTTTTTTATATAGAATTCAACGCTTTATCCGAATCCTGGAAGAAATATTAATTACTCCATTTAAAATATTGGAGGGAACCTTCATATCTTGGTAAAAAGCAAAATAATATAAAACTAATTAGAATTAGGAAGAGTTTGCTCTTCTAAATGAGCATAGGTAGGATGTT